TTTGATGGTAGTGTTCGAATATACAGATGGTGAATGGACGTTGCACAAAATTACGAATTTCCTAAAACTATCTTGATGATATTAGCCAACTACCATCAAAAGGACGTGGCGTGACGCTGTTGTTCTTGTGAGATATTGGGAAGATAGCATGGAATAGTTGGTGAGAATAAAGTGCTTAAAACTTTGTGGAAGTAAGGGAGTCGCGAAAATCTCACTTTGTGCAACACATGAGTACAAACCCCAGAGATCTCGCAAGAGTGTCAATTTAACACACCTTCTTGGCAAACAAAAGTGCTCACAAAGTGCGAGGATGTAAACAGAAGGAGTCGCATTCGTCAAAAGTAGACCTTCGCACTGGGTGCAGAATGGATTTTCCAAAATTAGGTTATCATGCTCGCCTGAAAATTGCACATCGACTATCCAGCTGATGAATTAAACTTTAATCTGATTCTTCCACGGCAAGTTTTGACAAATTTTGTCAGAATTCGTAAGCGACCGTTTTAAAGCCAACAACATGTATATCCGATTGTATACGATCGATGACACCACCCGCGAGGCATACCAAGATCAGACTGATGCAGCCACTCAGAGTGAACTTTCGTGCAGCGCACCCTGAATTATGAGTCTTGAAATAACCATTCCGGTATTACCAAAGGTATGGAATACTCTATTATTCAACACGTTATATATTTAAGGTTACCATTTGATTCCAACCGTGTTCTCTATCCTACCTTTTTCTAACAAGATGTGCTTGGTTAGAAACTCAGTCTTGCTTTGTTCAAATTACACCAGATGGCACGGCCGCGGTTGGTTAACATACTATACGAGCATGATTAGAATGCAAAGCGAACGTTAAGGAGAAAATAGTATTTGGGTTAATGGATGCCAGAAATCTACACAGCGAAATTCCGGGATTCAACTGTTTAAAGTTTATAGAAGCGGCATAGGGTCATCCAACTACGACAGTAATCAATACGGTCTCGTCCTCCAAGAAAGCAACTGCGGCATGTGTATGTGACATTTTGGGGTGGGTGGTACAGAATTACATAGTCAGATTGGACCAAGTAAACTTTGACTGCCTATGAATTCCTACAACTTGTTAAGGTGCAAGATATGACGAACTAGGATGTGAAAATGGCGGTGTAGGCGAGGCTAACATGGTGAAGCTAGACTTCGGTTCACTTGTTACCGCATAACTCATCACTTTTGTGTGGTGACATTTACTGCGCATGTGCTGCTCTTTACTAATAATAAAACGTTTATCAGAAAAGCGACTTTTCCACGTCCGACTAGGATTTGGTGCGGGCTAATTAAAAAATAGCGAACACTTCCCATACTAATGGTGAGAATTGTTACGGTCATTACATGCGTTTATTGAAAAAATCGAGGCTATCGCCATGAACATGCCGCTTTGCAGCTGTCAATTTCACCAGACAACTAGAATAATTGAAAATTAATTAACACCACCGATAAACTGAACCGACCGAATGGATTTTCTAAAGAATGTGGATTGGCGAGACTGTTTTTCTCTTTCAGGCGACTAATGGATGAACTTCATTGAAGAACCGAGGAACCTCCACTGGTTTCCACGTTCGTGCTTGTCACAACTAGGCACATTCTCCGTCTCCCGGGAATTGCACTTCTGGCGTTTGACCTGCGAAGCTTGACAAGTAGCAACAAACACACGCCAAAAACTGCATCAAATGCTATCACTTTACCTGTTACTGACTGAGTGACCACCTTGAAAAAGGGCGAGGGACACTAGGAACAAACAGAGCGAGAAAACTATGAACGACGATCAGTCGGCTGCTAAGTTATGACTGCGTGTTGTCCTCTATTTTCCTAGGAAAAACCATTAAAGTGAGTCAAACTATTGTACTGTGATTTATCAGTACGTTGGACAGTAGGCCCAGATTGAAGCCAACAAGAAATATGGCTAAGAAAGCATCTTCAAATCAATACGGAGTTATACACGAATTACACCAAAGGTAAATCCGCTGTCGGCGTTCTGCACACCATTTCAAGCTTTCAAACGTTACCCATAGCTTACCTCAAAGCATACCCAGTTTATGAAACAATGTGTGCTGTTGCATCTCCACTGTTCACAGCTAAAAATCTAATTAGCTCCATCCAGTTCTGGAAATCTGCGCGGGTCGATTTACGCTAAAATTCATTTTCACCGTCTTTCAGTGGTGTTCGCCTAAGCATAGATCAGCTACATATCTTTGTCAAAGAGACTCCATTATCGTGATGCTTTCAAAACTCCGTCTGTCTTTGAATCTCCATCTTAGTACCCAAGCTGATGTGGCCTCTTCAGATACAATTCCCGGGACTAAATCAACAGGGCTTCTGATTGCTCTGTTCAGCTGCCGTAAGACGCACAAAGACGATATTACCATAAAGAAGGGAAGAAACCATTAGTAAAATCGCGCTACAGTGGTAGCACAGGTTGAAAAGTGGTGACCCCCAAAACCGGTCATCTGTCGTGCCTTTGTTTGAAGGGATCAACCTCGGTCATTGTCACTCCCTAGAAGAGGATGAAGTTAAATCAAGGTTACTCAGAGAAATGGCAAGCATTCTATGCTGTTCACCTTGTTTCGTTTGAATGCGTTTGATCAGTCATGTTTCAGTGATTGATAGGAAGACCCAATTTATCATCTAGTGTTTTATCCAACTTTGGTTTTTTTTTACGTCATTCAACTGTTGCGTTTGTGCCCTAGTGTTAGTGAATAGAGGGCAAGTGTTTCTTGCTCATCTATTCAAGGGGTTTTGTGATCATGGGGATGTCACATCGCGAAAACCTGACTAGCATATTTAGTTGTTTTCAAACTCTTCCTCGGATGGTTTCCTATACAGGGAAAATGCCATGATCAAAATATAAAGATGTGGGACCGCGATCCTTGGGGATGTTGCTCTAGTGAAGGTTTATTAGAAGGGGGTACAGTAAGAACAAAAACATCCAGAACGCACAGAAAACCTCCCGCTCCCAAAAACAACCAAAAACCAGACGTAAAATGGTGTTGCTCTAGTGAAGGTCTATTAGAAGGGGGTACAGTACGAACAAAAACATACAGAACGCACAGAAAACCTCCCGCTCTCAAAAACAACCAAAAACCAGACGTAAAATGTGGACTGAATTGAACGGAGAAGCCGAGACACGATACAAAATGCTCGAATACTTGCAAATAACAGGCAATTACTAGAACCTACAAAACGTGAATAATTTCGCCCATTAGATTGTGCTTTTTTGTGAGCATACACTCGCTCTCTGGTTTTTCCCGTCGCACAGGTTCCGGTGGCGAAATTCACGATGCTAAATAGCATAGTCACAACGGAGTAGACTATGCCAATGATTTGTAGGATCTGTGGACTGGGACAAGGCAAGTAAGGGTGAGAGAGAGAGAGGAAGAATTCATGAAAAGCGGGCAGAGGTATTCATTTAGTGAAAACAGATGGGTAATTCAGACATTTGTCTCAAAAAGACGAGGTCCTGGTTTCGGACCATAATCAACGTTTAGTCGAAACAAACTTCATTTCAATTTAGCTGATCGATACTCGTATGGGAAAACTCAGCAAATATCTCGGCAGAAGGAAAAGGATGCTACCGGTACAGGGTCCGCTACAATTAATAGTGAAGTCAAACTGACAAAATATTGCAGCGAAACCCAGAGTCCTGGTGAGTATTGTCTCCTCGGAAAACTGGTGCTTTCAGGATGCTGTGTTTAAAAACTGACTGTTTCTCACGAACCGTACGTGGAAAACAATCGCCATGGCCTAACGTACAATGCCAGGCGAAAGTGGAGCAATTTTTCGGAAACAGGTAAATATCAGGGAAGAATGTCGACCTACAAGGAGAGCTGTAACTGAGAGTAAAAGCGAAACAGTTAAAAGGACCCGGGTTGTTCTTTCCGGTCTGTTTCGAGAAGACGGGGTAGTAGTACTACCCACACTGAGCCAGGAATTAGCTTACAGCAGACCAAGTAGTACAATGAAGTTGAATCACAGTCCAGGAGTAGAACAGGGGAAGTAGAATAATGGTAGTGCTGTTCTGCTGTTTACATTCAGAAGAACGAACAGGGTTTCCCAGCTCCAAACAAGCTATATTCACGATGAGTCGAGATGTGTATAACAGCGTACATCATATAGCATCATGATTGGGTGATTTTGAAACTCGTTGATAGGATAAGCTCAGTTTGGATAGTACAGATGGACCGGTTTATTGCTTGCCAGAAATTCATAGACCTCAACCGGCCATCGGCCATGAATAAGCCGGCTAGTGGGTCTTGCTTAGAGCGCCAGATGACCATGTTGGATGACGGACAAGCGACGACGAACAAGCACTCTGCCAACCTGCAAACCTGCAAACCCGACAATGCAGCCGAGACTCAACGTTCGAACAGGATAATTTTGTCTACCAGTGTCTGTTGTACCGCAAACTGGGGCATTCTAATGGGTCAGCAAGCAGCCGGCTACCTAACCCTGATGATCTGCCAAGAAGCAAGGCCTTTTCGTGTTGCGACGGTTTGCACATCCTAGAGGCTCAATCAGTTATATCAAAAGACGTCAGAACACTTGGTTCTTCAGACTGAGGATGAGTATAAGTGCACCAATAGGACCGTGTAGTCTCGCACCACCCACCGCTGCACTGCGGTCACGCTTCTGAATCAAAGTTGTTTGAAGACCATAGTTAATCCTCTTAGGTTTGGGCACCCTTAGCGATCTCGGTTCACATACAACCAAAAAGATGTCAGCCATCGAACGTGTCTGGTCGTTGCATACAACCTAACGGAGAAGCAAGAAAATGCGAGGGAGCCTTGCCTACTGCTTTACTGTTACCCTTTAATCCTCCTCCCGTTGCACCCAGTGATCACTCTTCTACACATCCAGCTATGAACATCTAGAACAGTGACAAGCTGTAAGTCAACGCTCACACCTGTCGCGCAAACCAGTGTCGTATCCGTTTCTAGTTTTTTTTCAAATAAGTGAAATATGGATTCGTACATCAATAGGCCAGCAGGCTGCTACTGAGTAAACTCTAGATACTTCCATGCATTTTTGAAACCCAAACACAACATTCAAGTTTTCTATAGAGGAGAATGTCGGTAGCTCAGGTGGCGTAGATGGTCGTTGGCTTGTTCGCTGAGCTGGGCAATTTGGTTGCAAACGTTTCATCACCAATCGAGGTGACATCATCAGTGCGTAGTTGTGCGTAGCGGTGGGTTAGTGGTTGTGCAGTCACTGTGCAGTTGGTTGTGGTACTTCACTGGTTAAGTGTCTACTTATGCATCAACCAAATCCAGATGATTCCGGAAAAGACACTTTCATACAGGACTTACGCTGTCTTACCACCTAGGAAGTCTAGCTACAGTCATAACAGCTTCAACACTTCAGTAGGGCGCCTCAGTCCCCCGGAGGAATGTTTAGTTTGAACAGAAAGCACGGCGATAATAGCTTCGTACCGATGACCAATTGTTTTTCAGTGGCACCCAGTTTTGGCACAATGTCTGTCGCTGTGCTAACTGGCATCTACCCATCACCGAGCATACGTGGATTTACGATGCATGCTATGTTACAGTTGACGCCCTAGGCTAGTGCAAATTTAGGCTGAATTTTCCCGGAACATCAAGACACAATAAATAATCTGTGAACCGTAGGTTAAACCGACAAGTAGGTGCTTTATAATCAATGATCTAAAAGCGCCATCCTCGCATAAAGGCCGTAACTGGGAAGAGAGCCACAAGTTCCCGAGGGCATACAGGATCAATATGCCGTATCCGTCGAGCTCATATGGTGATATGGCGCCAGACCGAACGAAGCGTAGGAGAGGTGCGTTACAACCACAAATTTCAAACGGAGACCAGTAAAGTCGGTAATAAATGCCGGTTTTTTTTAGCCAATCCGCAAGAAAGGGCCCGAAAGGCCATCTGCTAATCGGTTAATAAAATAAACTATTGGAAATATGTTACGTTATCAAATAAGGTATCTAGACCGCAGTTAGCCCCCTGCATCTGTNCATCTGTGTAGTGTTTTTCATTAAACTCGCGCAAATAAAGCCATTGTCTCGCAGTTCACATCCACTTATTTATGAGAAACTAAAGTTTTTTTTCTGTCACTGAATGAGTCACCGGACTTGGCGTTTGAATTGTAGACATCTGGCAGCTAATCATGACACTGTTCAGTTGGTTGTGGTACTTCTGCTTCAATGACTGTATTCATACAGGCTTCCAGAAGGTACCTGGTAGCTTCGCTGTGATTGTTCAGTTTGGTTCCTCTATGTTATCGTTTGACCGGCCGGTTAGCATACACAGTAAGCCGTCTCGTTGTTACTGGTCAGCTAATAAGTTATTTCAATATCAGGCTGTTTTGATCAAAGCATCCTTTTTTGTCTGTCTTTGATGTGGCTATAAAATCCACAGTCAAAAAGTACAACGAACCATTTGAACGGAATAAAGCTTGAAGAAACATTAGTTGCCTCAGACTAAGCGTGCGACATTGCTTGCCACACAACAACCGCGGGAGCGTGAAATTCTGCGGCAAGTGTTCTCCTAAGTTCATCGCGAAAGGTGGTACCCGTTAAGACTTCATTTTGTCACCTTTCCCCTTTGACCTCATCATCAAATTAGTCATCGAAGAAACGCTCCTTATGTCTCCTACTCGCGATGGAAAGCCTCTCCGAGGTGAAGGCCTTAAAGAATTGAAGCATGCGAACGACCTTGAACTGCTTGATCACCATGCGTCTTTGTATGCACTCTGCACAGAGTGCAAGAGTGAACGGGTCCATTAATAAAGCTAGCCATTGCATTATACCCATAGAGTTAATGGACAGATTTATCTATCTAGGTAATTGTATCACATCGGATGACAGCACTTCCGATGAAGCGAACGGTAGAAGTGATAAAGTGCGCTGTTTTCCTTCAGCTTGGGAACCTCTGTGGTCGACGTAACACTAGTCTGTCAGGGAACCGCAGGTTTCATAACGCAGCAGAGCGTCCTGTTTTACTTTACGCATGTGAAACCTGGCCGCTGTGCGTTGAACCAAGCGAAGATCACTCGCCTATGATAACTGGTGTCTTTATAGCATTCCACATCTACCACGAGAACATCGAACTAGTAATGGTGAAGTGCGACGAATGGTTTTTGGTACGAAAACAAACAGCTGTCCAACCTGTGCTGGTTCGGATGCACTAGGTGCGCTGGCTTGTCCATGTGCTCCATATATTGAGCGATCAATTGCTTCATTGTATATTGTTTGCTGAATCAGGTTGCCACTGGAAGATACCACAAGATGGACAACGCGTGACCAGGAGAGTGAGCATGAAAAATATAACAGAATTTTGGTCTGGTGGGTATCGAAGACTCATCACAGCAATGGTAGGAGATAGTAGCTCACGACGGACACGCAACCAGTGGTGGTGCTATCTCTTCTCTTGTTCTAAATCATCAATCCATTGCTCTTATTTTAATTTCACTTCCAAAAAATTTTCCCTACTCCATGCATCCTTGTGTTATTCACTGTCATAAGTTGCGGCGACCCGAAACCACCGTACATACGTATATGGTTGATAGTTGTAACACTGAAATGAGTGGTCATTTGATATTATCGGGGAAATCGGAAAAAGGATTTGTGACATCAAAAGCATGGCCCTTTTTATATTTTGCTAGGCCTCATACATGTATTGTGTTGATTCATTACGTGGAGCATATCAGTTAGCTCAGGTCGGAATTGCTGGGCTAAAACAGCTCCCTGAAGGTCGAGATGTCTCAGAAGTGCTCGCACCGCGACGTCAAGCTACATGCTCAAGAAAAAAACGTCAGCTTTGAATAATAGTTCTCTTCTAGGAGCTGGTTGCCATGTGATCCAACTGAGTCAATGGTTAACTTGCATGCGGTGGGCGC